CTTCTTTAATTTATTTAATTTTATAAATTGTGGAGATAATTTATTTTATTTTTGAAATTCAATATCTTATCCGATTAGCAGAAATATAGTTTAGTTAATGATAATATTTTATCACTTTTAGGATTCAAAGTTCAATTGAATTAGAACTCTCAAAACATGATGGCCTCTATAATAAGTATCATTTGTTTCCTTTACAAGCATCATATCTCCATCTTAATCGTGTTTATCTCTCTCTCTCTCTCTCTTTATGTGTGTATATATATATATAATTTTATTTTATTTATTTATTTTTTTTTTTCAAGAAACTGTTCCACAGAAAATTTTTTCAGACATTTTTTTCTGCGCGTCTGTTACATATTATGTTAATACTATTTATAACATCAATCTAACTAAACCTTTTAGTTTGACGCTCTATATCTTCTGAAGTTCCTAGATACTTATATATATATAATTTTATTTTATTTATTTATTTTTTTTTTTCAAGAAACTGTTCCACAGAAAATTTTTTCAGACATTTTTTTCTGCGCGTCTGTTACATATTATGTTAATACTATTTATAACATCAATCTAACTAAACCTTTTAGTTTGACGCTCTATATCTTCTGAAGTTCCTAGATACTGAACACACTGGGAATATCTATGTCATTCTCTGAAAATACAGAGTATCTGTATTCACTCTATGCTAAGGTCTCAGGAGGCAAGCCACCTCAATTTCTTTGCAATCCTCCGTACTTATTTCTTGGCGTTTGTTGTATTATGAGACATGAATTGTTGGTTTAGTTGAATATGCACCCGTATACGCTCAAAATGCATGCTCTAGGAGCCAATAGCAAAGTGAAGTCAACCACTTTGCTCTCCCAGTCAATAATTTTGTTTAAGTTTGCACTTCAAATTTATAGGAGAAACCTTTTAGGGTCAGTGTCATATTTTGACGTCCATAGATACCAATTATGTTGAAGTTTATCGGAATCCTATAGCACCTGAATCATCCACAAATGATTTTTTCTTCTCTTCTTTGGCTCATGTCAACAGGCTGTCTTTTGTGATTACTTGGTGAAATAGAGGATTTAAATATTTATTCAACTAATCCTTACGTGAATGTACGTGAACACTTTTTGTGCAGGTGTATCTGAAAATGCTGTTTCAGGTCATATACAATTGTTGGTTCCTGGCGAAACTGCCTGTTTTGCCTGTGCGCCTCCCTTGGTAAGTTTATTGTGCTTGGTGAAATTTTCCTGTTGAAGTTGGTTGGTCTAAATATTGGATTTTTGTTTTTAATCATTTTTTTGCCTTAATTTCTAATCTACATGGTTATTGCACTTGATTCAGACTGACTGCCTCTCT